GAACCCGCGGGCTCAGGCAATCCACTCACCTCAGCCTCCCAAAGCACAGGATTACAGGCTGAGCCACCGAGCCCAGCTCCTTGAGCTCTTTAGATCCTTTCCTGGGGATAGAATGAAATATTGATCCTACCCGTGGCTAGTTATTTTCCTCATAAAGAGATTGTTAAGTATGGAGCTAACAGATGCGAACCACTCAGAATGGATTTGGCACTTAGTATACACTGATATGTTACCTTGCATTATTTATATTGCTGTGCCAAAAGCTAAAATGAGGTCCAAACTTTCCTGTACAATGACCATTTGTATACCTAACCCTGAATTGTACCCCGTATCTTTAAAATAAAAAAAAAATGTAATTACAAGCAGAGAGGAACAAAAGTGTTCTTTTCCCTACGCACAACATACATGTAAAAGTAAAATGCAGCAGCTATGAGTCTTATTCTATAAACTCAGATGAACAGAAACATGATTTTTCTTCCCTAATTTCAAGCTCTTTTCCTGCCCAACTTGTAGGAAAATTTAACTCCTGAGTCTTCCAGCTTCCTTCCTTTCCTTTTAAGGTTGTGTCAAGTGTCAAAGCATTTGGGGGAGGGAGGAGGCCTCTGGTCCTCTGTCAAAAATATTATCCTGAATTTTTTGAGTCATTTTCTTTTCTCTGTTTGGAGATTAGGCCCACTCCCCAGGACCCTGTGGTTTTGCTTTTTGTCTTTTTTAAGCCAGAGTCTCACTCTGTTGCCCAGGCTGGAGTACAGTGGCACACTCACGGCCACCGCTGCCTCAACCTGCTGGGCTCAGGCGGTCCTTCTGCTTCAGCTTTCCACGTAGCTGGAACTTCAGGCACGAACCACCACGCCTGGCTAATTTTTTGATTTACTGCAGAGACAAGGTCTTGCCAAGTTGCCCAGGTAGTCTTGAACCCCTGAGCTCAGGCAGTCCTCTTGCTTTGGCCTCCCAAAGTACTGAGATTACAGGTTTGAGCCACGGCACCCAGGCAGGACCTTGTGTTTTTGCCCTAGGAATTGACACCCTCAGAATCAGATGCCTGGGTTTCTGTCTGTAGTGGGCCTAGTGGACCTACAGGAAGAGCAGGGCTTGTTCGGGGAGGAGCTGGTCACTTCCCAGAGCTGAGGCTGGCCGGACCAGGGAGGTCAGATTCTTTTCATGGAAGCAGCGCCCTCGCTGAGACAGCCACGCCTGAAGTGGGAAGTTGACATCCAGTTGGTCTGCCCAGAAAAAGTATACTAAAGATCATGAGGTGTGTTGTTACATCTTCCACACACAGAAAAATAGTCCTGATGTCCTGGAGGGAGTGAGCTAAACTCAAGATGTTTCATATAAGAAGATAGGCATCAGCCTTCACTGAGGGCATGAGCCAGGCCTGAGCAGGGTGCCACGCCTTTACTGACTTAACCCTCTCAATTACACAGTGAGGTGAACAGTATCGTTCCTGTTGGGATACAACTTCTTTGGAAGTCATTGCTTTGTTAAGCTTGCAGAGCTATGAAACTGGTGCCATCTCAAACCCTCTTGGACCTAATTCTGCAGACTGACCACAGAGGCTATTTCACCTGCAGGAGGACTTGGGCTGTGGCTGCAGGGATTTCACCAGAGAATGTCCCAGCAGGAGGTGGCCATTACCAAAGCTGACATCTTTCCTGTACGTCCTAGCTGAGAGGGCAGAGGCCAGCAATGCAGGCCTGGTGCAGGTGTGGCTTAGATGGCTAAGCTTAAGGGCCTTTTGTGGCTCGGGGGCTCAGAAGTCTGGAGACTGTTCAGGAACAGGTGGGAAGTTCTGATAAAGGACATGGGCCTCCATACAGCCAAAACATGGAAATATTCTAACTGGGACCATGTGGTGTTGAAACAGGAGTAAGCAAGTAATTCAGTGGATAGTTTAGGAGGGAGAATCCAGAAGTAGACTTTTTCATGAGAATTTATGTCAGAGAGGTATTTGGAAACATCAGGAAAGGGCTTAGTCAATAGATGATCTGGGGGTATCGGGCTGTCCGCCTGAAACGTCACACAGCGATTTCACACCGTCTCCAAAGTAAAAATCTCAATGGGCTCAGCATAAAAACCTGGCAGTCTTAGCCTTTCCAAGGAACAAAATCCAGAAATGATAAAGTAAAAAGTTAACCTTATGAAAATTAAAGCAGGGATGGGAAGGCCAGGCTAGAAGAGTTCTGAAGTGTTCTGTATCGTATGAATCGTACACAGTGAGAATTCACTGAAGGGCTGACATAGCTTACAAGATTGGAAAAAAATGGTGAGTTACCTTTGTATCAAGGCTTTTAAATCCAGCAACAAGTTCTGAGCTCCCCTTATGTGCTTTGTGCAGGAGTTGAATGAAAGACTTTTCCTCCAGGGCTTGAAGTCAACCTGAACTTGTGAAACATGGCCCGCGTGCTGCCACCACCTAGGGCCACCGAGAGTCTGGATGGGTGGTGACCTGCCGTCATGAGATGGTTGTCCAAGAAGCAAGTGTGCATTCTTGGATAGCTTCCTGGAGGTGGTGGGCCTTGAACTGGGTCTCAAAGTAGGTAGGAGTTCATTTAGTAGTATAGAGAAGTGAAAATGTTTCCTTTGAAGTTCTGATCATTTGAGTCTATAAAACGAACATAGCACACTGATTAACAGGAAAGAATGGCTTATAAATTGGTATGGTGGGCCTGGGTGAAGGTCAGATGCTTGAGAGAGTGATGTCTGGACAGCGAGACCTAGCTGACGTAGGCGCCTGTGAGTGCCAGTTTACGGACCGGGGGTGTGGATAAGGGGACGGTGTGCCCAGGAGGCCAAACTGATTTGTGGCAAACCCCACAATATTGGAGATGCTGAGTCTTTGGCACAGGCCAGCCAGGCCACAGAGAGGTGGTAGCCCGTCTCGTCAGGCCTCACCAAACCCTGGATGAGATCGTCCTCAGGATGGGGCCCTTGCGCTTACGTGGATTCCAGCTGCAGCCTCACAGCACGCTGAGCGTTCTGACCCCTGGAAAGGGTTAGCCCTCGCTGCATAAGCAGCCGCGTTCTGACTGGTTTGCGTCTTTTAACTGAGCCTCAACAGGAAAGCAACTTGGAGCAACACTGGACGGGAAGAGAAAACAACTTGCGGAGACCGCAGGGACTCGTGCTGCCTCTCTGTCTACACCTCACAGGCAAGGGCCAGCCTGGCCTCCGTGGGGGCGTGGGAAGGTGGCGTCGGGCATCCAGGAGGCCTGAGTGGGTGGCTGGACGGCAAGGCCTGGGCTGCAGGTGTGGCCGTGGACTCACTGGCGTGTGTCGAAAGGCCCCTTCTGGCGGGTCACCCAGGCCTGGCTCTCAAAGGACAGGCCTGCCGACTCTCCCACCTTCAGGGTCTTCCTCTTCTCAAATTCCTCTCCATTCCCTCCCCCTCAGCTGGGCTGAGAGAGCCTTGCTCCTCGTGAAAACCCAGGCACCCTTCCTCCCCAGGGAGGGCAAACCTTTCCAGCCCCTGCTTCAGCATCTCTGCTCCGTCGTCCCGCAAGGCCTGACCTGGCTGCTGGGCTGGGCCTGAGCAAGCCCAGCACAGACTGTCGCTTTGAGAAGAGGACCAGCCACCCGGTGTTCACCGCCTCAGGGGCAGATGGGAGAGCAGGCTTGAGAGAAGGAAGTGTGCTTCCCAGGATGCTGACAACACGAGAACTTCCTGTGATGAGGACAGACGCGCAAGTGCCTTCCCTGCAGCCCCCAGAGCTCGGCCAGGGGAGCAATGGGGCACCGGCCGCTGGTCTTGCCCTGGGTGCTGCTGTCCCTGTGTCCCTGCGGGTGAGTGCAGAGGCCAGAGGGGACAGGGGCCGCAGTGGGGGGCGGGTGGGGGACAGACTGCAGACCTGCTGTTGCCATTCCACAGGGACCCCTGAGGTGCGGGTGCAAGTTCAGATGGAGGCCACCGAGTGCGGACCCCACAGTGTTTGCTGTGGGTTCCTGGGGTCTGGCTTCATCTCCCTGTGACGGTGAGCTGGGGTGGGGCTTGACGGTGCAGGAGGAATCAAGCTGGCTGTGCTGCACCCAGAACTTGGCGCCCAGCAGTGGGCTCCTGCCTGTCAGGCCCACTGGGAAACCAGGAACAGCATTGCCCTCGCCCTGGCAGAGCCTAGGGCCAGCAGCCCCTGTGCCAACACTACTTTCTGCTGCAAGTTTGCGGCCTTCCCGGAGGGCTCTTTGGAGGCCTGCAGGAACCTCCTGCCCAGCTCAGACAGAGGTGGGGCTGGGGAGAGGAGGCCAGGGAGGAGAAGGAGGGATTTGGACGCTGGCTGCCCATCTGATGCCTGTCTCTGTGCTCAGGGCTCCCTGCCCCAACTCCTGCCCCACTTCTGCACTTGGGAGGGGGTGGTTGTCAGGGGCCCGGCCTGCCTTCCTCAGCCATTGGCTGTCCTTTTGGTCCCAGGAGTCCTGAGCACTGGCCTCAGCAGTTCAGTGGTTCCGCCATTGCTGGGAGTTCAAGAAAGAGAGGAAGGGGTGCTGTGAAGGCCCCAAGGAGGGCCAGGGAGGTGGGGCCAGGGGAGGAGGGAGCACCCTGGACCCAGGACAGGCGTGGAGTGCTGGGGCTCGCACGGTCTTGAGGAAAGCCCGAGGTAGAGTCCCAGAAAGCTTTGCCCCCCCCCCCCAGGATGGGGGCAAGGAAGGAGCTCTGAGGGACCCCAGCTCTCCAGCCAGGGCCACTTGTCCATCATGGGGTTGGGAGAGAGCTCCCCTGGCCGGAGCCCGGCTTCCACAAGCTCAGGAGGCCACAGCCCGGCCTGGTCCCTGTGGAACTGGGAGCCACGAAGTCCCCACAGCTGATCTGCTCCCCCTTGCCCGATTCCCAGGGTCAGACCAGCAGCAGGGCAGACGGGGGCCCTGAGGGCGCAAATGTGCACAGTGCCTGTGGCGGGGCTGGACCTCAGGCCCCTGTTGGAACTCTGTTTTGGCGCTTGTGGATATCGCGCCCCAGAGAAGTGACCAGCCCAAGGGGAAGGGCTGAGTCAGCCCAGCGCCTGTTGCCGCCTCCGCCAGGCCTCACCTCCAAGCCCTGGCCGTGACCCAAGCTGAGGTCTCAGCTTGGCTGCGGGACCCCACGTGGCTCGCCTCGAGGACGCAAGGGTGAGGGGACCTTCCGGCCAGGGAGGCGTGAAGGCTGTAGCCAGGAGACCCCCAAGGGCGAGGCGACTCTTTGTGGAGTGGCTCACTTCGCGGCAAGCCAGGGACGGGCACTCGCCAGAGGTCCCTTAGCAGACCTGGAGCCCGGGGTGCCGAGCAGTCCCCGACCCCAGGCACAGGCCGGGAGGGGAGAGACTCTGGCAGGGAGAGCGGGAGGCGGCGCCGCCAGCCCAGTCCCGGTGGGGAGGGCGACCACGAGGGCTGTTCCCCGGGCGGCGCGACTGGCACCGCTGCAGAGAGGTGCCCACCTCGGGTTCCAGCCCCCGACTCTGTGGCCCTGCCTCCCTTGCCGCTGCCACCTGGCACCCTTGTACCCAGCTCGCTCCCGAGACCGCCCCCAGGCCCCCGCCTGGGACCTCCTCGCCCCACCCAGCCCGCTGTGTCCTGAGGACCGCCTTCCCCGAGTAACAGTCCGAGAGCG